TTCTAGCCGTTTGGGCTCCGCTTCGGCCGAGTTTAAACTCGTAAAAGAAAATCGTACGAAATTCTCGCTTTGACATTATAAGGATGACTGAATTATTTCCAAGTAGCGGAATGCTACAGAGGTAAACAAACAATATCATTTGGAAGAGGATTAATAAGTGTTGACATTCATACAAATGAGTAATCCTGTAAACGTAAACAGAATATTTTATATAGATTTTTTTTAATGAAAACTTAAAATCCTGCATTATTTTCCGGACAACCCAATAATTAAAATGAAGTATATCTTCACTAAAGCTCTCCGTGGCCATTTGAATTGTCGCCGCGAATCAAATAGATTACACGACATTTGAAAAATGGCAAAAAGGAGGGAAAATTCAAAAAATGAGGTTGAAATGAGAAGTTAGTGTCCGAGTGGATCGAGGTCACGATAGCTCAAGTAGTAGAGCAGCGGTGTATTTAGTCGAAGATCGTGGGTTCGAATCCTGCTCGTGACACTTTTTTATCTCAACTAAAAACCTTAATTAATTGAAAGTTATTTGAAAGATATAAATGTAACGGTGTCGTTAAAATAGCCGAAACATTATGCAACATCTCTCTAATATTGAGATTCAGAACGAATACAAAATACTTAACTTATTATTGATTGTCTTTTATTTGAGTTATGCTAGAATTTCAGATAGAACGTGAATTTATCATATCGTTGTAGGGATTCATTTCCTGTCAATAGATAATCCCGCTCGGCTTTCCAAGAACTTCAGGCCGTCATTAATCACCCCTCGAGGAAGCGGATCCGGATCCGTAGATTCCAAAATGTCGCGTCATCCTAATTAGTCCGTTGACCAGAGCCTCCTTACAAAAAGGCAATTCTCATGGATTTTCAAATTTACATGAAAACAGCAGTGTATCGCAAGACAGTGGCAAAACTATAAAACTTTTACTCTCGATGTATTATTTTTAGGACTAAGAAATCCCGTTTATCGATGATCTCATGCAATGTAGATCCATGTGGAGAATATTTCAAATATCTTACGATTCTATTTTTATAATTCATCATCTAAGCAAGATTTGTACTTTCTGTTCCGACCGGAGATTTATTTAAGGCTTGATTACAATTATGGGCGATGCCCAACTAGTAATACAAAAAAACTACAGTACAAAATTAATAATAACAATGGTAAAATACAAACTAAATATACAATATAAAAACATAACAAAAATATAAAAGAAATTGGGTGAAACAGTTACTCACTTATTTAATTATTTATGTGACTAAGCACCCCGATCATTTTATTCTTTAACGTTTCAGAATTAGGTGTGTGAATATCTGTATATTCGGGCAATGAATTCACTATGGATAGCAAGTTAGAAAATGCTAATTTTTTGAGTATAAATTGCCCTGTGAAAACGCTCGGCAAAAGATACTTTAGTTCTATTCTGAAATATGTGGTAACTACATCCAACAGTGATGGACACGGATTCTGAAGGCAATAATCTGAAACGATTAAGCCAATAATCTAAGAAAATACCATAATAATCACCAGCACCACTGATATTAACCAAACGCTTAATTAATTGAGCTTTTAGTGGGGATAAAAAAGTTAGTGTCACGTGAGGGATTCGAAGCCAAGACCTTCGGCTAGATATCACTCGGACACTAACTTCCCATCTCAGCCTCACTTCTCGAATTTTCCCTCCTTTTTGCCATTTTTCAAATATCGTGTAATCTATTTGATTCTCGGCGACAAGTGAAATGGCCACGGAGAGCTTTAGTGAAGTATACTTCATTTTAACTTATTAAATTCACTAGTTTTCGTGGTCCGCTTGACCAATTAATATCTTTCAATTAATTAAGGTTTTTAGTTGAGATAAAAAAGTTAGTGTCACGTGAGGGATTCGAAACCACGACCTCGGCTAGAAACCACTCGGACACTAACTTCCCATCTCAGCCTCACTTCTCGAATTTTCCCTCCTTTTTGCCATTTTTCAAATGTCGTGTAATCTATTTGATTCCCGGCGACAAATGAAATGTTCACGGAGAGCTTTAGTGGATCAAAATAACGATAGCTCAAGTGGTAGAGTAGCGGCGTATCTAGCCGAAGGTCGAGGGTTCGAATCCCGCTCGTGACACTGACTTTTTGATCTCAACTAGAAACCTTAATTAATTGAAAAACATTAATTAGTCAAGCGGACCACGAAAACTAGTGAATTCAAACGCTTAATTAACAACTTTATTAAAATCATCAAAAACACAAACAAGATAATGATACTAGATAAGGCTGGCATAAACCATATTACTGAATGCAAAAAATTAAAATTATTACTGATCACTAACCTATTCAAGACTAATCCATTTTTTATACACCGAGAATAACAATGTCACTATACTTTCTAGATGGATTATAATTTTCTGGCGTTATCTAATTCAAGACGGTGGTCCGTAATGAGATTCGCAGAAGTAGCTTAAAACGAGGTTCACCCAGCTGTAAAGAGTTTGTAGGAAGTGAATGTATCTACACTTAAAGTCAAACAAGTGGCGGTCCTTAATATATTTAATTATCTCTTAGAAAATGCAACATTTTATCTTACAACCATATTTGGTCTGTTTTAAAGGATTAGAGGTAAATAAAACAAAGATAAAATCACCCACATCGCCAATCTCTTCTTTGTTGGTTTTTCTGGAAAGATTCTTTCTAACGTTCCCGTGGTTTGGTTTTTTAAGTTGTAACATTTTTAAGTTACTGATTCGGCTAGAATCATAGCATTGTTGGAACATGTAAGAAGTCAAGCGTATGTCAGCACTTAGCACATAACTTTCCCAGAACAACTTCCGAAGGGTCTTCCATCGCTAACAAGATACTGGAAATTACATAGGAAGGGATGGATCAGGTCGCCTTCGTGTCACATCTCAGAGAGATGATTGTTTCATTATTTTGCATGTTCTCAGTAATCGATATTCTACCGCTGTTGAGATCAAATTCAACAAGTTAGAAATGTTAATGCCAGTTTACGCATTGTAAGGTGAAGACTTTCAGAAGATGGCTTTCCTTCAGGCCTGCCACTGTTCCTGAACTGATGACATGGCACAGAACAGTTCGGTTGAGTTTCCCAAGAAATCACATCAATTGGTGGTGAGTTTAGACTAAAAACTTATTTTGGATGAGCAAAGGTTTTGTTTGACGTCTTCTAATGGCCGAGAGAGGACTAGGAGATGAGGAGAGCCATAAATCTCTCCTCCGGAGAATCTATGGAGGTGGTGGTGTTATGGTTTGGGCAGGCATTTCTATGGAAGGTCGCAGAAACTTGATCTTCATGCGTTGAAGATGTGTTATCAGAAGACGTTGTTCCTTATATGCCACTAATTGGTGGCTTCATTTTTATGCACAGCAATGCAAGGCTGCTCACAGCTAGGATTTGATGGGCTTCAATTCATTATACCGACTTAAACCCTATTGAACACCTTTTTGAGACGAGTTGTCAAAAACGTAAAGATTCGCCCAATGATGCCCCTTCTGACTATAGCCATACCTTGAAAAGTGGGCTATTCATTATAAAACTGAGAACTTTCCGTGTTGCCTCTTCGTGGATCTTCCTTGGTGAAAGAAATGTCTTGTCGAAGTGGTTGTACCGTAAACGGGCTGACGATTTACACCCACAAAGGATACGTGCCGATGTCTCTGTTTCCTCCTGACAGAGCCGCCTCAGCTTTGTCCATCTTCTTAAGATGACAGTTAAGAGGGCAGTGTTGGGACGAGTCAAACAAGGTAAAAAATCGCCCAGTGATGTCCCTTCTGACTACAGCCATACCTCGAAAAGTGGCTATTCCTTATAAAACCGAGAACTTTCCGTGATGCCTCTTCGTGGATCTTCTTGGTGTAAAAAATGTCTTGCCGAAATGGCTGCACCGTAAACGGGCTGACGATTTACATCCACAAAGGATACGTGCCGATGTCTCTGTTTCCTCACGACAGAGCCGCCTCAGCTTCGACCAACTTCTTAAGATGACAGTTAAGAGTGCAGTGTTGGGATGAGCTGTCCAGGACGGTAAAAAGTCACCCCGTGATGCCAGAGGATTTTCAGGAATTAAGAACGGCGCTGTTGGAGGAATATTTTAATATACTCATAAAATCGATGCCACATCGAATGCAAGATAGAAACATTTTTAGTAAATTAATTAATTTTTATGTAAGGTACTGGCAAAGAGGAGGGAAAATTCGAAAGGTAGATTGAGATGGGAAGTTGGTGTCCGAGTGGATCGAGTCACGATACCTCAAGTGGTACAGCAGCGGCGTATTTAACCGAAGGTCGTGGGTTCGAATCCCGCTCTTGACACTAACTGTTCCATTGCAACCAATACCTTAAAAATATCAAGTAATAATAATTATAAAGATTGCAAGTATTTGTTAATAAAAAAAACGAGGGTGAAGAATTTATTTTTCCTCTCAGTGTATTTTTACCAATCCTCTAGATCAAAACGCAAGGATGATTAAGAGGTTATTTGGACTATTTGATGAATACGCTAGCTTTTGATACGAAACCGCCAGTACTGATGCAATATTTGGTGGTCCACTTCGTTATTCACCGTGTGAACCCGAATGAGACCGTCCGACAGAGCCGGCCGTGGATGAGTTATAGGCCCTCTCCCTTGGATACCAATCTTCGACTCTCCACCTCTCCAACACATCTCTCTCAGTCCGTCCCAAATTGAGAGATAACCATCCCTTTTCCATTTACGCCAAACGGCCTAACCTTTTGTCTCACTAACTAATAACGGCTAATATATGCCCGCCTTACTTCATCTTAAATAACGTATTTTCCTTCGGGCTTGTTTGGCCCGGTGAGACCTCGTTAAATATTTTCTTTCTACCTAACACCGAAAAGTGTTTATTTTTGTTTGCATTTTTTTATATATTTTTATTACTATTAAAAAGAGCGTTGTTTAATTTAGAGAGTTATATTGGTTTTTCATTTGATGTGTTTTGATTTGATTTTTTTTTCCAGTAACCCAGTCGGAACAGGATAGATCATGCATTTTACTTATACGAATTCAGAGGAGAGGAGGCGACTGGCTTTGGGTCCACTGCGTCCTCCAGGTGAAAGAGAACATGGAAAACAGTCAGCAGCCTCTGATTGTCGCTACCAACCAAGTCTTGAGGTGAGTATTAATGTCGTCCTGGGCGTAACATTTGTCGCCGGCACTTTTTTCCGTGTAATTGCACACAGTTGTCTAAGTGTCGGTGCCATCAACTTCTTGCCCGCATTGTTCGCCTCCTGAGATACTTCTAACCGACGTAAAGCGCACGGTAACGCCCGTCATCATCTCGTAATCGAGCCGGAAAAAGAAACCTAGATTACTCGAAATCTCTACGCGCTGATGTCATCAATTGAAAATTTCGGCCTACTTCATTCCCTTGTCTTTCATTTAAATAAATTAAAATAATGTATCGCGGAATTTTTCGAGTTGACGTTCAACGGGATAAAATAACTTACCTAATAAATTATATTTTGTAGATTTGTCGACCAACTTATATAGATAATGTTCTCTTGTTTGTCGTTGAGTATCGTTGAGAGATACGGTCAAAGAAAGATATTTTTAATTTTAAATCTTCGCCTAGTTTTCGGAAATTTATTTTTTATTTATTTACGGTTTCCCAATTACAAATGCAAACAATAAAAGTATTAAGTTTAGTGGTCTGATTGACCAAATTACTTATTTCTATTAATTATTCTTTTATATAAGGTCTTGGTTGAAATGAAAAGTCACTAACTTACATAAAACCTTGCATAAAAATAATAATTAATTGAAAATTAACGTAATAACTACATAAATATAGAAATATTTATAATAATATGAAGAAAAAAAAACAATAAAACAGACAATTTAGAATGAATAGAAACAATTTAAAAATGTATTAATACTATATAATTTTTGGTTATTAACTAGTAAATTCACTAATTTCGTGGTTCGCATGACCAATTAATATATTATTATTAATTTTTAAGGGCGTTTTAACGGCTAAGGTCATTATAATTATGATAATTATAAATTATTAATTATAAACCAATTCAAAATTAATAATAATAATAATAATAATAATGTTACAATATTTAATTAATTAATATTTATGAAAGGTATTGGTCGAAATAAAAAAGTCAGCGTCACGAGCGGGATTCGAACCCACGTCCTTTGGTTAGATACGCCGCTACTCTACCACTTGAGCTATCGTGGCTTCGATCCGCTCGGACACCAACTCCCATCTCAACCTCACCTCTCGAATTTTCCCTCCTTTTTGCCATTTTTCAACCAATACCTTTCATAAAAAGTAATGAATTGAAAAATGTTAATTGGTCAATCGGACCACGAACTGTAATGGACAATATTTAATTTTCTATTAATAAAATTTGCTTAAACTGACATTGAATATATCTACATTTTCGAACGAGTTCAACAGATTTGTTGTTCTTGGTATAAATAATTAAGGTTTTTAGTTGAGATAAAAAAAGTCAATGGCACGAGCGGGATTCGAACCCACGATCTTCGGCTTGATACGCCGCTGCTCTACCACTTGAGCTATCGTGACTTCGATCCGCTCGGACACGAACTTCCCATCTCAACAGCACCTTTTGAATTTTCCCTCCCTTTTGCCATTTTTCTATATTAATTGGTCAAGCGGACCACAAAATTAGTGATTTTAATTTCTTGGTATAAAATTGAATTTGGCATAATTAGTAGACTGCTGGAATGATCAGATGGTACATGAAAGTTAATTAGGTTAAGCAGTATTGGGCAATCAGTTAAGGAATGAAATAATTTATACAATAATATACAATCAAAGAAATTCCTTCTGTACAGAACAGTCGTCAATTTCAGATCCGTCATTAACGATGACTACGTTGTATCTCTGCATTCTCCAATTGTTCTGTAATTTTTCAGGCTTAAAAATCTTTTTTGAACCGCTTCCAGGCGACTGATACGAGTGGATTGAAAGGGAGCCCAAAGCGGTGAACAGTAATACAATATTGGTCTTACAGTGGATATCTATAAAAAATTTAAGTCTATCTGGATCGTGGAAATGTTTAGCATGACGTGTAATAAATCCTCAAGTTTGATGTGCTTTAGCAATTGTTTTGTTAATGTGTACGTGAAAGTTTATCTATCTGTCATTAACAATTTCACGTCTAATTTGGAGCTAGTCTGATACAGCGTAGTTAAATTTGATAGGATGTTTTGTTTTATGGAAAGCCGTAACTTAAAATTTGTCAGAATTTAAAAGAATATCATTAGTTGAACTCCAATTGTTAAGTTTTACTAAGGCATGTTGAAGTTGTAAGCAATTGTACCTTCTTCAGGACTCTACAAAAGGATTATTTTACAGGATATATACGGATATAATATAAATAAGAATATATTATTAGACATACATTTTTGTATTTACAGATTTTTGGTCATAAGTATACAAACTTAAATTCTTTTATTTTCATGTTAACACTGAAAACCTGTTCTCTTTTTTTCTTCACCTTTTCAACTATGAATTGACTAGTCTAACAAATATCAAACACGGTAAAAAGCGTGTAAATGAAAATATTCTGGCCAAAAATGAGTAAATACAAAATTGTGTCTTGTTCTTACATATATTTGATGTTAAATTGGCCAAAATTAAAATGTATAATATGTCCCTTTATAGATCTGAAGAAGGTACAATAAAGTTTCGAAAGCTAGGAGAAAATTTAAAAAAAAATATCGTTCTTGGACCATATCCCGGATAACAGCCAAGAGAACATTATCTAATAAATTATGATAGTGGGTTTTCTATATCTTTTTTTCCTTTGGATACTGGTGATGATCGTCTCCACTTCTTCCACTACGACCAGAAAGATCTGAAAAATAAACTCTTCTTTATTTTTACAACCCTGAAACTGCACTACCATTAAGTTTCACACTTTCCGGTGTTCATTCACTTATTAGAGACATTTTGCTTAACGTTTATACGATTTCAAGGTCACAGTTAAATTTAACGATGACATTATTTGAAGACTTTTGCACTTACGCACTTATACGCTAACGCTAAATTTCGTGGGGAGTTTTTAGTTGGAACTGTTCTTTCCATAACTGTTGGTAATTTCTTGCCATAACTATTGTTTGCAATATCATTCACAAGTTAGTAAAAAATCTGCCTAAGTATGAACGAGAAATCATTCCTTAGATACGTGTATTTAATTGAAATGTTAGAAGGATTTTACATAATGTTTCCACTATTTCAAGATTACTTATATTTAACGACTTTCAAAAGTTGATGGTTGATAGAGGAATATCGCGTACTCCACCGACTAATCAGAGTGCGATGTACATAGGTGAATGTATTTATTGGTGCAAGTACATTGGGGGCTGTAGGAAGCCCTGTTTGGAGCGATCTCCCAAGCATTTGTCTTAAGGATAAGATACTAATGACCCAGCAGCATAACGGGGTAACCTAGCGAATTCATCCAGTGCGTAATTATTCTTTCTCCATCCATTTGTTCAGTTCAGCTTTTAGCACTAAAGCGTATGAGGACTGCTCCTGCTTTTGCCAGTTTGTCAGACTGTTCATTGCATTCAACCCCCTTGTGTCCTTACAATCACATCAGAATTACCGATTGAGTTTTCCCAGCAGTTTGAAATTGGCTTTTCCAGACCAGCTGTTATTTGGAGGAGACTAAAAGCCTTCAGCGCTGCTTGGCTGTCGGAGAATATCTCTGTCTCTACTATCTCGGCACCTTTTAATCCTTTGGGGAGTATTTCTTGAGCACAGAGTTTTATTGAACATTTGGAAAATTTATGGTGTGACCTAGAGGTTTCAAATTGGAATGTAGATTCTAATGGTGGCGAAGGCTGGCTTAAAAGCTCACGAGGTTGAAAGTCGCGTTAAGTGAACGAAAATATTCATTCGTGTGATGCGCTTCACTTTACTAATTATATATTTTATTTTATTTCATTAATCACATATTTTGGTGTTTTTGGTATATTTAGTATTATTGGTATTTGAGAGCTTTATTCCTTTTTACGCCGGGTAGCTACTGATACACTGTCACTTTTGCTTCGGGAGCTACTGTCGAAAATGTATATCCTCGGGGTGATAACGCCGAATTTGAGGGGTCATCTCCCTGTAAATACTAAAACCAATAAATAAATGCCTTATTATATAAAAATTGTCGTTTTCATTAGTGACAGTTTATAATTGCTGTACACAGAACTATTGTTTCAAAACAACTATGCTATTTGAGAAAATTTGTGAGGTCATATATTATTCCGGACCCTCATTGAAGGGGTTTTCATTGGTAAATAAGACCTAAGCTTGAACTTAAAATTTCCGTCACCTCGATAAGGTGGTGCATGGCTTACTTGTTTGAATTCCGATGTTATTTGTATGTGTATCGTTCTAATTCTAGGGTAGTGAACGCGTGAGCCGATCGACGAGGCCGTTTCGGATTTCATGCGGTAAAGACGCCATGGACTTCGAAAACGTGTGGGAAACATTGTAAACGGGTAATGAACTAAGGCAGATTCAAAGTGATGCACCTGGCGCTCGGGGTTATGGCCGAGGAACGATAAACTAACAAAACGAACCGGCCGACAGATAGGTTTGATTTAGCAAGGCGGGGAACGTGTCGGCGATCATATCGCAGGCCCTCGTAAAAATATTGTTCGCCCCACCTTCGCCACGGCTCTGTTTGTTCTCACATTGGGTAGGGAATAAGGAGATGAGGCCGAGATTATTGGGACAATGGCCCCGCTAATAACAACAGATCATGCTCAGAGGAGATCGAGCGTGTCCGTCCACACACTCACTCTTCTAGGATCCAGTTTTCACACTAGTTTGCGAACTGGGGTGGACTTGTCTGTTCTCATGGTCTTCCTTATCGGACCGTTTAACCTCTTGAACCGCCCCAGGCTTTCAGACGGTTTTATTTTATCTAGTGTTTTATATTGCCTTTGTTTTCATTTTAAAAAACTTCACTTTATTGAAAATTATTTACGGAACGAAATACATTAAATCGTTGTGGGGGGTCAACAGTGATATGGACGGTTTTTAAATCTAAAAGTATGATTTTACATCAATTGCTTACAGTATCTTGTAAAAAACAAAATGGCATTGAGTAACACCCAAGTCATGATTG